CAAGTGTCATGACCGATCCATCTCCATACAATCCGCTTTCATTGAGTCCATAGAAGGGACTTGCCGTCAGTCCAAGATTCACTTGGGATTGTTGGGTTTTACTTGGTTGCTGCCACCAAGGATGGTCCAAATGTGTGGCTTTTGGTAGCACCATCTTCACGGCGAGTCTCCTTGGGTTTTTTTTTTTTTTTTTATTGATCACAAATATTCTCTTATGAATTATAATCTTTTTCAAAACACAGCTGGATACTAAGCATGAACAGCAAGATTCAAATCCTATCTCATCATGTTATAGAAGACTAACCCGTTTCAATAGACATAATCTTCATTGATCCTTTAGGTCGATTCTTTGATTATGTGTGGATGTGTTTCTCCTATTGCTAAGACTAGCATAAGCTGATTTACTGTGTTGTTTTGGTTGCCTTCTTCCTTTGTGGACTGGTTTGCGTTTTTTTTTTTTTTGGTTATTGGGTGTTTGTTTGTTTCTTTTGGTGATTTTGTATGTCGATTTGTACCTTTCCATTTTTTTGAGTGTTTTTTTTTTTTTTTTGCTTTGGTTACTGGTGATGTGCTATTTTCTTTTCTTTTCTTTTTTTTTTTTTTGAAGGACCTCAAGTCAAGTCGTTGTATTATATAGGTGGGGAGTAAATATAGTCAATTCAATTTCAATCTCACGTGCGTTACCATTATCATTAATGAATGCAATCCCCGCACGTGCTTATTCTCTCATTTTTTTTTCCAATATCAACTTTAATAAAAATATAACATGCTACAAAATTACAACAACTTGCTTGACGATTAGAGACGGTCATATATATATATATATATATATATGTATGTATGTATGTGGAATGAAGATTGAATTTGCGAATCGTGAGTATTTCTATATTCTGGTTCCTGGGTAACATCGTTGCCATCAATCTCATGATAACATTTATTAACAAAATATATTGTTTAATTTTTTTAGTAATATTAAGTTGACAATAACATCACTTTTTTTAAAAGGAAACAGATTATATCAAATAGTCTTATGATAGAATGGAAAACAGCATAATATAATACTAATATATCATATTTAAAAAATTAAACCTTCAATATTCATCCACTTCTTCCGCGAGCTTTTTTTTAATTATTATTATTATCATTATTATTACAATAATATTATGGTAACAAGATGGATAATAAATTTCTTGTCAAGGAAAAGGATAATAAATTAATTAAAACCATTCAGGAGTCTCTCAATAATCTTATATATTGCCCAAAAAAAACCTTATATGTTATAAAGTTTGTCATCATCTCCAATTCCACTGTGAGATGAAGAATAATAATTTTTTTAATTTTTATTTAAAATAAAAAATTAAATACAAGAAGATAATTTTTAAAATTTTTATATTTATATTTATTTTTACCAATCAAATTATATATATATATAAGATAGGAAAAATGACAATAATCCCTCTAAAATATATAAATGATAATTATCTCTTGAAATACCATAATTTTCTTGAAGTTTATAAGAACTTTTCTGTCATTAATAAATTTATATAAATTATTAAATTATCCTTATTAAAAATAAATAATTTACAACTTTTTTTTATATTCATAACAATATAATAGTGTGATTTATTGTTGTATTGTTGTGAATTTAAAAAAAAATTGTGAATATAAAAAAATTTATAAATTATTTATTTTTTAAAAAAATAATTTAATAATTTATATAAATATATTAATGATAGAAAATTTTTTAAAAAGTTTAGAAAAATTATAATATTTTAAAATATTAAATTATTATTTATGTATTTTTTAAAAAAATTGATTATTATTTTTTTGTAAGATATTCCCGTGCCATGTAGGAGGAATAAATCTAATTATATAAAAACTCCACAATCGTTTGCATATGCTCAGTCAGTGAAGCTTCCACCTGTACCCACTGTTGCTGTTGCCCCATGCCACACCTGACACCCCAGCGAGGCTTGTTGGTAACGAATATTCTATTTTTGTTTGCCAAGGCCACTTTTTAAATCATTAACTTATAAAAAATTGCATAATTTTCCTTTTATAAGCACATGCAATCGCAATTTTAAGATGCATTAAATATTTATGAGAAATCAACAGTTTAGAATTGAAACGAAAAACGTGAAACTGAAATGCGTAGCTGGTGCCTCAGTGCCTGACTGCCTCGTGTGCAGTTGTGAATCTGATGGGTGACTTGCCCATTAATTTTGGGATATGGCGTGTGCTCAACGGAATACCCTCACCTCATACCGTTCACGAAGTTAAGGAATCATGGTTTTTTGTTGTTTTTCTCCTTAAAAGAAATTTTTTATGACTTCAATATTTTGTTCCTATTTGATAAGTCATCTACGAGCAATATCAATAGAGTTGGGTGTAATCGCCAATCTTTACAACATAACAAAGATATGTTTAAATCTTTATTAATAAAAATATTTATATTTAATACTTAATTATATCTTAAATAATCACCTTCAATGGATGGATATTCATGAATAATAAAAAAAAAGTCAACATGCCCCAAAAGATTTAATTAAATATTAAAATACTCCCTTTGTGGGCAACTCTACCCCAAGTCTTCACTAAATATTTGTGAGAAAAATATGTTATTAAAAATATATATTTAATAATGATAAAATTAAAAAATTTATTAAATTTTAAAATAGAGTTAATACGTTTTAAATTTTTTTATGATTATAATAAAACATAATAGAGACATAGGATTGGAAAGAATATTTATTTATTTTGACATGGAAATTTTAATTTTAAAAGCATCTTGTAAGTATGGTGAAGGATTGCCCTTGAAGTGGGTGAGATGAGGTTTTTTCTATTGAATAAAAGAGATTGGCTTGAACAAAACTTGTCTCAACGTATGCGGACTAGATCCATTATTTGGGGCATTGTTTTTGCAATAGTGAGTTGGAGTTTCTAGAAGAATCAAAATGAATGTATCTTCTACAAGAGGGCTATCATGGTTCTTGCCTTTATGGCTAAAACCTTGCAATTTGCTTGTGTCATTCAGGGTTGCATGGATGATGATAAGGCTATCATTGAACAAAAATTACTACCTTGTAAGTAGGAACCACCGCCTGCAGGATGGGTGAAAATGAACCTTGATGGTGCTGCTTGTGGCAACCAAGTGTAGTAGGGTGTGGAGGCTTATTAAGAGATTATAGGCGTGTGTGGCTTGGTGATTTTTTCTCCAATTTAGGATGATGCAATGCTCAAGAAGCTGAACTTTTGGATGTTTTTTATGGAATTCATGTGGCCAAGAAACCAAACTTACACAAAACTTGTGGTGGAGATTGATTCATTGACTATGGTGTACTTATAGAGAAATGCGTTAGATCAACAACCTTTCACGTTTTGACAGCTTAGGTAGACCCTTAGTTTGATCACATCAGATTAGCATATAAGAGTAAAGCATGTTTTTCGTGAAGGAAACTCATGTATGAATGGACTCGTCATGTTGGGAGTTTAGCAACGGTCTAGATGCTTTATCTTACAAGAGCTGCCTATGAGCATTCTACAATGAATTCATCCAAATGTTAAGGGTGACACATACTCTTGTGTTGTTTTTGTTTCATTAGCTTAGTTTGGGCTCTACCTCTTTTGTTCATTAAAAAAAAAAAGGCATCTTGTAATGATTTTAAACAAAGTTGATTGTAATGATATGTTAAACTAGGTTGTTCCTTTTTTTTTTAATATATTGTTCATTAAGTGTTTTGAGAACTAGACCGAACGGTCTTACTACCACCTGTTGATCAAAATAACTTGGTTTAACCAATTAGACTAATCTAGCATTTGAACTTGGTTAAATTGGATTAACTTAGCTGGTTTTGAGAGAATTGGATTTAACTTGAAAATTGGAACAAGTCAACTTGGTTTAAAGCAAAGCAAAAAAAAAAGGGCTAATTCGCTCAAATTCACCTTTTCTCTTTTTTAATCTCTAGTTCTCTTCTATCTTCTTTTTTTTATCTCATTTCTATTTTTTCCTCCACTAGGTCTAGATTTGTAACCTCTTCTCCAGTTCTATCAATCTAGTTTTTCGCATCGAGATCAAAAGCTCATGAATCGTGACATGATGGTATGCCTCCAACTCAAGCATTTTGCTTCAAGGTCACGAGCTTGTGCCGACATGTCTCTACTTCAGTTCAGGTGTCTAGCCTTTAGTATTGAGATATCAAATATTATTAACAAATTAATATTTTATTTATATATTTGTGTATATAAAATTTTTATTTAATTTTTGTGTCACTGATTTGACCGTCAATTTAATCAGTTAAATTATAAAAACTATGACTCGTAACTTTTTTTAGTTTAATATTTGGTTCAAGTTTTAAAATATTAATTCATTTTGTTGGCAATATATATATATATATATATATATGTAATGTATTGTTCATTTTTTTAATAAACTAAAATGATTTAAAAGTTATGGATGAATTATTAGATGGCCAACTCTTGTCAGAATTGTACACCCAAAATGCCCTCACCAACCACACACCAGCTTCACTTGCCACGTCAAAACCACATTGTGATTTTATTTCCATCTCCACCTCTCTCTCATTTCCCACCATCTCCACTTTCACGTACGCAAAAGAAACCGTGAACATCAACATCTATTCCCTCTGGTCCCTTCCCTGAGTTAATTTTTGAAATTAATATCAATTAGTATCATCAATATCTATCCCCTCTAGTCCCTTCCCTGAGTTAATTTTTGAAATTAATATCCTAACATACTTACCGCCTCCTTGATTAAAAATTGAAGGCTTAGCTTATTCATTATATAAAGAATTGCGTATATCAGCGGATTGGTGGTGGTGGTGGTCCAATACGCTGGGCCCACCACGCTCATGCCATGCTAGTACCTCACCAACCGCACCCGGTCGGCAGCCGGTTCAACCAACCACTACTTCTTTTGCTTTTCCCACGCCGGTTCAAACGAGACATCTACGTTCTACCCCTCCTATATATCACACCAGCCGCATTCGCCATCTTTCCCAAGCCTCCGGAAGAAAAACACGAGCGCAGCGCAGAAGAAAAGAAGAGATCGGGTCGAGGAAGCAAATAGGATCGGAACCAATGGCGGATCAAAATCAAACCGAAGCTGGAAGGCACCAGGAGGTTGGCCACAAGAGCCTTTTGCAGAGTGATGCTCTCTACCAGGTACCTCAAATTCAATTCCTTATTATTTGTTCATACCATTTCCACTTATCAACCCACGCATCATCCCACAACCAGTTTCTTCTTCTTTTTCTTGTTCTGGTATCAAGGATCATATGGTTTTTGTATGCAGTACATTCTAGAGACCAGTGTCTACCCCAGAGAACCTGAACCCATGAAGGAGCTCAGAGAGATCACAGCCAAACACCCTTGGTGAGGTTCTTCTTAAGACTCAGAAATTTTAAGTTTTTTTGACAAATCGCACTCATACATAATGTTATCGTGTCCTGTGTCCGTTGCGCTTAAGATTTTGGTACTCTTTTTTTTTTTTGGTTTGCTTTGGATTTGTCCTTCTTGATGGCGAAAAACTTGTGAAACTTCTAAGAAAATAGATGATCCATTACTGATTGATGGAAGAAAACAACAGGAACATCATGACAACCTCGGCAGACGAGGGGCAGTTCTTGAACATGCTCCTTAAGCTTGTCAATGCTAAGAACACCATGGAGATCGGTGTCTACACTGGCTACTCCCTTCTTGCCACTGCTCTGGCTCTTCCCGAGGACGGAAAGGTACGGACCAATCACCAACAAGCAACACGGTGCAATTTTTCTGATCTGAATGATTCAACGTTACTTTATCAAAATCATCGAAACATGTCTGAAATGTTTTCGGCTTCTTTGGTCGGAATTGTCGCAGATACTGGCCATGGACATTAACAGAGAAAACTACGAACTGGGCCTTCCGGTAATTCAGAAAGCCGGTGTAGCCCACAAAATCGATTTCAGAGAGGGCCCTGCTCTTCCTGTTCTTGACGAGCTCGTTAAAGATGTAAGCTTTTATACCTCCGTCTTATAGCTTCAACAAAGAAAATGAACAGCATTGATAAGAGTGGTGGGATTGTGGGGGTGAATTACAGGAAAAGAATCATGGGAGCTTTGATTTCATATTCGTGGATGCGGACAAGGACAACTATTTGAAATATCACAAGAGGCTGATCGACTTGGTAAAGGTAGGAGGACTGATCGGGTACGACAATACCTTGTGGAATGGGTCCGTGGTGGCACCACCCGATGCGCCTCTGAGGAAGTACGTGAGGTATTACAGAGACTTCGTGTTGGAGCTCAACAAGGCTTTGGCTGTGGACCCTAGGATCGAGATCTGCATGCTTCCCGTTGGTGATGGCATCACTCTCTGCCGTCGGATCAGCTGATTTCTCTGCACCCTTTTACACCACGTCATTTCCCTTTATTTGTTCTGACGAAAGGGCCCACAAATATTTCCTTCCGTATTTTTTTCCCTTCAAATTATTTTGATTGCACGGTGCTTAATCGAAAGTGTCTTATATTTTCCATATTCGTGCCTTTTCATATTATTTTGAATTGAATCCTGTAATCATAAAAACATTCCTTTTTAAGTTTTTTGTGGATGATAACTTGTTTGGTTAGTGGGCCTTGGGAGTTGATTGCTGACATTCATGAAGTAAAAGTAAAATATTATTATTTTTTGGTTTTTTTTGACAAAATCACATAAATTAATGAAGCTCCTTAAATATATTTTATAACTTTATTTTTTTAAAAAGGGTTAAGATATAAAAATAGTTATCAAGTGGTTAATCAGAAATATCTAATAACCTAAAATGAGAAAAAAATAAAAATATCTACAATATTACAAAATTTGGTATAAAAGTGAGCAAACTATTAATTTGCTCTAACGTCATTAGTTTTTAATATTAAATGTTGACTATGTTGTGACGTGTTAGTTTTTGTTTATATAGACCTATAAAAGAGTAAAAATACTTATAAAATCGTTAACCAGGAGCATTCAATAGTTTAAAGTGAAAAAAAAATAAAAATACGTATAATGTTATCAAAATTAGTGCAAAGATGACCAATCGATTAAATCTCTTATATGTTGATTATTTAGCCAACAAATACGTAATAGTTGACTTTTTTTTACTGATGTAAAATTCTATTGAGATTGATCGGTCATTATATGAATATTGTGTGAAAAAATTTTATTTTGACCAAACAATAAGTTAAATCACTCTTTCTTTTGTAGCAGTGGTGAAAGCAATTTGAGGATTTTGAACCTCATCATGAACGAAATTACTTAAGATTATGCCCCAATGTTCCTTTGGTAGGTGGCATAGGAGATGTGTGTAATAATGAAGGTGTTACGAGTAAAGACAACTTTCTTCATAAAATACTTACATTCTTTGTAGTGAGCCACAGCCTCATTATTCTTAATTTTTGATTGTATGCAACCTATCTCACTGTGTTGAATTTCAGGTTTTGCAGATAAGAAAAATGAGTGGAGAGGAAGGGAGGGAGAGGGTGGGATATGTGAAGATGAAAAGAAACCACGTGGCATGAATTTTGAGGGATTGATCACTATTACACCTACTAAAGTAACGTTATAATTACTCATACAGACTGATCAACCTCTATAAAATTTTAATTGAGAATATTTTTTGTTAATGTCAATGAAAAATGGTGAACTTATATTTAGGTGTAAACTAAACAATCAATATTTTAAGAATTTGATGAATTGATCATTTTTGCACCAAATTTGATAATGTTATGTGTATTTTTGTCATTTTTTTCACTTTAGGCTACTAGATGTTATTAATTAATAACTTTATAGGTATTTTTGCCCTATATTTAGTCCATGTTAACAAAGACTGACACATGACAAGCACAGTTAGTATTTTACATCAAAAACTAACGATGTTAAGACAAGTTAATAGTTTGATCATTATTGCACTAACTTTGACAACGTTATAGGTATTTTTGTCATTTTTCTCACTTTAGACTATTGGATGTTCTTGACTGATTACTTGGTGGGTATCTTTACACCATAACCCTTTTTAAAACAAAATATAAATTTTTAAAAATTCCTTTCATTTAATATTTCATTTATAATAGAATATTCAAGAGAGAATATAATAGGAAGGGTAATATTAAAAAAACATATTAATGAGACCTTTTTTGTCAAAATGTTTTATATTTTGAGATGCCAAATCTCCCTCCAAAAGTATTTTATAATTTAAAATAAAAAGAATATTAAGTAATTTATTGTTTAAATTATGTAATTTAATGGAAAATTATATACCACGGTATATATTATTGTTAATTAATTTATCTTTTATTTTTTTTAAATAGTTAAATCATGATTTATTAATTTTTTTAATATCTTTTTAATCATACTTTTAAGTGTAATAAATATGAGATTTAACTTATTCAAAACACTATCACTAATTACTCAATAATGTAAGGGTATAATTAAAAATATATATGTCTAACATCTACTCAATATTATATATTTTAGACCAAATAAAACTTTTAAAAAATAATTTTGTTTTCAGTGCACAAGTGTGATAGAGGAGTGTGTCCTCCAAAAGTATGATAAACTTGACTTTTAAATGAAACAGTAAGTTTTTGAGGTCATTTACCACAATTTTCACGAATGCAAGTACTTAAAAGTAAAGATAATGAAAAAATAAAGATGGAGAAACATGCAAGATTTGCATAGTAAAAGTAGACATGATAATAATAATAATAAAAAGGAGATATTAGTGAATATAAGATGAAGAAAATTGGAAAAAAGATTTTGTGAGGCTCTAGCACTTCACTAGTTGTTGAAAAATTTATTGCTCATTATTAGATGCATAGCCCTAAAGGAATTGTTTTGTATTTATATAGTGATAAAAAGAGTTGTGTCGGGCAAGCTTGGGATGATGCAAGGTGAAGGTTTGAGTTTTGCATTGAGCAAGTATATAATAGAGTTGAGTTGTTGAAGTGTTTGGAAAAATCATATAGATCGTGTATATGTGTGGTGGCTTCTCTTTTATATGTACAAAATGATAGTTTTTTTCTTGCTTTTATACTTTTTTTAGGGCCATTGGTTATAGTTTTTTCATAAGTTTCATGTACTCCTTGATACATCTAAAGTAGTGCTTAGCTCTTCTTTTTAACAAGTAATCACAACTCTTTTAGGAAATTTACAGGAGTTTGGGCTAAAATTACTTTTTTTAGTCCAAATAATTGGGCTGGAAAAAAATATTACATTTTAACCCAAACAAACTTATATTGTAATAGAAGAAAATAAGCAGTTTAAATTTGAAACTCCATAATAATAGACTATCTAAATATTTATGAAGAGTCTCTTTATTTATGAACTAGTAATTTAACTATTTACAATACACAACCACTACCTTTATTATGATGAAATTGTAGAACCATGTTTTAAACCTTGTTGAAGCCCCTCCTCTCTAGGTGAGTGTGTGGTTTCTTACAATGTACACTTTAATAACGAAATTGATGAAAATATAGTAAAGTTGGTCAATTTGATTTTTTAGTTTTCATGATATAACAAAATGTAATAAATGTTTTTAATCAATAAAAAGTAAAAACAAGCAAATAGAAGAAATAATTTGTCTCTAATAATTTAATTGAGAGAGATCTATTCATTATTCTCAATATTTTGAGAGAGATATTTTTTATTATTAGCAGAAGCTATACTCATATTTTTCAAAAAAGAAAGAAATGGATTGTCTGTAATTTTTTCTCCCTAGAGTTGAACAACCAGTCACCTAAAGGTTATAATAATGATAGCATATGAAAAAAGTGGGTCGCGGGAATATTAGCAATTCTTATGAATATACAGGGGAACAAATTTCGGTCAATAGTGGGTGGCGGGAATCTCCGGTCACCGCTACGCAACAAAGTGACCACCAAACTCACACCTAATTATTAATCTTTTGCCTCTACTATGACTTCCGAGTCATCCCCAGTCCATTCATTTCATTCTTCTTCTTCTCCTTTATTTTATTCTATTTAAATTTCTCAGCATCAAGTCATCTTCCATGGTTTGTGGCACTTGCTAATATCACATAATCCCTTAATTATTGGATGCACAATCTAAGAAACCATGATGACGACCCCATACCATCCCATGTTTCCTTGGCTGGAGGAAGCAACCTTTGGCATTATTTGGAAGGTACCTAACCTCATTTTCCTGCTTCTAATCAAACAACGTCCAAATCTGACAAATGTGGAGATTCATTTGCTTGCCAAGTTTTAAATAACAATCTTAATATTAAGATTTTTGACGACTCACCATTTTAGGGCACAAATTGTATATTTTTTATATGACTTGAACGTTTTTTTTTTGTTTTTTGTTTTGGTTGTCCGTGATCTTATATTAAAAAAAATTAAAAAAACATACAAATTGATTTGAGAGCTAAATACAGCATATAGGCATCTTTTCCATAATGGCAGGAAACATGTGACTTCCAAGTTCATACATTTTGGGGATATTATTTAGGGTAAAATTTATGTATTTAGTCTTGTATATTTAATATATTTATGTCCAATCAAATTATAACAAGTAGATCTTAATATATTAATTAAATTAATAATAATAATTTATTATAGGATAGATAATATATAAAAATTTATATATTTTTATTTAATTGAAAACAAACACGTTAAATTTATGAAGCCATGTTTATAAGTCTTTACCTATCACTTATATGTTCAATAGAAAAGAACATAAAATTCAATATTTTATAATTTTAAAACATGAATCTAACTATGTATATATAATGCAGAGAGAGAGAAAGAGATCATTTATATGATGGGCCACATGCAAATCAACTAATTAGGACAGAAAATAAAAAAAAATGTATTGAAAAGTTTAAGCAAAAGACGCTATATAAGCATGATCAACTAGACAGCTAATGCAAGAATTATAGAAAGAACCGAATGATGTTGTCTACATGGCCCATGCTTGAGGCAGACACCACCCCTGATTTGATGGAGCTGGCGTCTCAAACTGAAAAGAACAGCAAACTGCTATATTATCTATGTCATCACACAACAGCAAGTTCATCACTTTAAAAGTTTCATTTGGGCTCAAGAAAAGATAGGAATGTATTGGATTAAAAAAAATAAAGTAAAAATTAATTAAATTACTCTTTTCTTTTATGATAAGTATAATAAAACTTAATATTATATGTCATAAATAATAATTATCACATCTTTTAAAAATCTTATAAATCATAACTTTTAATCTCATGAATTAAATTATTTTTTCCCTGTAAATATAGTTCACTTATCTTCCTTCGTGTTTTAATTATTTTATTTTTTTCATTCCTTCCATTTCATTCACTTCTAACACCAAACGGGACGAGAATGTTTTCATTTAAGGTCTTGCATTCAATGATCTCGAGCACATTCAATTCACCAATATGGTTACTAGCAAAGGATACTGCTTGCCCCACTTGCCATCAACCATCAAGTTACTCCAAGCTAGGATACCTAACTGCTAATACCAAATCCAAAATCAAAC